TTCCGTCTTAATGTCGCAAATGGCTCCTGATGTGGTTGCACCATCGGCTGGTACGATGGACCTAACGGCAAAGTTTCCCAGTTGTGTTACTTGTTGCAGTGTGCTCAGCGCGCTCGGGTGCAGCACGTCGACAGTCTGGGTGTTTCTTCTTGTATTAAGCCGTACGTCTTTAATCTCGTTCGGCACAGTGTTCTCAAAATAGAGCGAAAGCGCTTGCCTGTTCAGAACACGCAGACTTTCGGTAGCGTTCTTTGGCACGAACAGGATCGAATGGGACCATCGATGGGGTGCCCTTTTCACGGTGGCTGTACTTGACACCGGCGATGGATTGATGATCCGTCGCTTAGCCTTGCAGTGCAGGACAGGTTGAAAGCCGTCGTCTGAGGACTCGTCGCAAGATGCGGAGTACAGCTCAGTGTCATCGCTCTCACTGGATGTGTTTCCTCGCTTCCTCGAGGTAGTGGCCACGGTCGAACCGGAGTCGGATGTCACCTCGTGAGGTTTTACATCCATTACCGCAACGTACGGGGCAATAAACCCCACAACTGCAGCGAAAAGTCCAGAAAAGCACTGAGACGAGCGAGATGTGTTCTACACAGAATCACTTCGTCTTCCTCCTCCGCTCGGGTGGCTCTACACGCATCTAAATTTCCAGAAAGCATATTAGGGTGCGGTGCTGCACCCACAAAAATACAAAGGGGTACGAGAACCGGCAAGAAAAAACTATGCATGAAACCGATGCTCCAAGTAATGCAACACCATTCCTTTTATTTTTCTAAACCAGAAGTAATTCAAGTTTGCGGCGGTAATCATCAATAGCAAAACGTTTACCAACCCTGAAGTAAAAACACCTGTTCTGTAAACGTACTGCCACGCGCGTTGCTTATTTATACCCAGGCTTACGCCAACATGCCAGAAGCACACATGACACCTATATTTTATAGGAAGAACAGAATGTGGTCGAGACGGGGCCATTGGAAAGACTTAGAATTATGTAGTACGAATGTACGTACAGTCGAGTGCATAATTTTAGAGACCACGGGAGCGCGTGCCGAGGCGCGTCGCTGCGCCTTCTGGCAGCTGCACGGCTCTGTCCGGGAGCGCGTACTGCGCACGCTCGTCCCATATCACCCGGCAGCCTGCCCTTTCGCTCGTTTCAACGGCGCGCATCTCGAAACGATGCGGACGGTGCAAGGTACCACTTCCTCAGTCGCTGTGCAAGCACCGGTACTCCCGAGCGATAACATAGCGGCGAAAATGTCTCTAATGTAATAACATGGCTCGAGCGCGCCATGCAATACGCTTTCTTCCTTGATGCAGTGCGGAAAACATGCAGTTTCTCAGCTTTTATCAAACGGAGTTGCGTGATATGCTCATCTTGCAGTGAATTTTGTGCTCTGTCTCGGAGACGTTATGCCAGCTCCATTTCTTGGTGCGAATATCGCGCGTGCAGTGGTATGCAGTAAACCACTGAATATCACGCGTCCAGAATGAATAGCCAGGAAACGCGATAAATGAACAATTTATTCTCATAAGCCAGAAAAAAAAGAAAGGGATAGCTATAATTGCTATCCAGGAAAGATCACTACTTTCAGTATTTAATCAAACGCCCATCGACGGCAATCACTTGCGCCACATGAGATGGCATCGAATTGTAAAGCACGGCCACAACCTCGGGGTGTGAACGAAGTGCTTCCCACTGCTCCTGCATGGCTGCGAATAAGGTCTCCTTCGTTGAACTTCCAATATTCTGCGCCACAAGTCGGCGTTTCATGAGACTCCAGACGTTTTCAATGGGGTCCAGGTCCGCTCCTACAGGTGGCCATTCCAATGTGCGAACAGCAAGGCCCTCAAGCAAATATTTCACACTGCGAGCAGTGTGAATCGGGCTCCTGTCATGCTGGTACACGAAACAACCATCCTTGACTTGCCCATTCAAAACATAAGGAAGCAATTCTCTCTCTATTATGAGAGAGTACGTGGAGGCTGAAAGGTTCCCATCGATAAGAGCCAGTGGTCCAAGTCCTTCCCTGGTCATGGCAGCCCAGACACTCACAGAGCATCGGCCACTGGCAAAGACCGACTGCGTGTACTGTGGTGAATACCTGGCGAAGAAGGAAAGGCTGGATTGGTTACACGGATTTATAAGAACGACACTGACACATAGTCACTTTATCCCCGAACAATTTCGTCTTACTTGAAGATCCATATAATAAAATTTTAATTATGCGAGATCACCAAGATGGTGCGAAATATTCGACATGTCGGTAAGGCACCCTCAGTGCGTTCCAGGAGGCCTCGTAAACTCAACTGTATTTTTCTAAGGTAATGAGGTACCATATACAAACATTGTCTAAGGTGCTTAAGTTTGGTGAGCTGCTCACGATAAGAAGTAGCACAGCTTAAAGAGAATCAAAGCTAAGCAATGTTCTACAGCCAGGTTCGAAGACAATAAAGTGCTGGGCTGTACTTGTCTTAACCACAACGTAATTAAGGCGCACTGTAGTGGGTGACCTGCCATTAATTTTTACCAGCTGCGGTTACTTACCGTGCACTACTCTTTCCACACATTCAATGGTAAATAGTACAAGGATGACATTAATGTAGAAGACAAATCGCAAATGTTACCTCGAGTTCATTGGACGCCATACTCGCCGTTCCCGATCCCAGCGACTTGAAAACGTTGATTCATCGCTGAACACGACTTCTCCCCGCTCTTCTGATCTCCATGTCTGCACAGAACGCGCAAACTGCAGTCGCACGGATCTTTGCCTGTCCGTGATGTGGGGCTTGTGGGCCGCGACGCAGTTGGCAAGCCCTGCTTCTGCCAACCTCCTACGGATAGTCCAGACGGACGCGTTGAGATGCCATGCATCTTTTATGCCTTTCGCTGTTATATGGGAATCAGCTACTACGGCGGCGATAATTAGCCTGTCCACTTCGTCATCTGTGCATCTTGACCTTCCAGCGCGGTCTCTGTCATTGATCCCCTCTCTTTGTCGGTACGCTTGGATGGCACGACTTATCGCATTTCTTGACCTTTGAAGGAACTGGCAGATGACCCGCTGAGAAAAGCCTTGGATGCTTAACTCTACGATGCGTCTCCTTCCATTAGCTGGTACTCGTGGTGACATTTTTGAAGACGAATGTGGAGGCCTTAAAACCGCCGATCTTATACTCTTTCGAGAATGGCACTGTGCAATAGCTGTCTAATAGCTGGGCTTTGCCGCGATATGCTTCCATTCAACATTTGCTGTACGAGATAATTTCTTATCGTCACCAAGCCTGAAAGACCACGAAACAAGGCAAAGAATTGACAAAAATGGCAAAATGTTACTGTGCCTGCGTCACAAGCACGCGTGAACCTTCTGAGTGCCCAATTTTTCTTAGAGAGTTATAATAAAGAATCGCATTTCCACGCAATGAGTAATGTGTACAAAAGGAGCGGTGGCACGAGGTATTTGGTCGAACAGCTTAAGGAATTAACTTTTGTTTCCTTGTGGCGCCTCCAACATTTGAGCACTTCGAACTGAACTGTGCTCGCCTGTAATTTACTGCAGTACTTTACAAAACAACGTGACCAGAATACCAGAATACACGATGATGCTCGAGCGACGGATGTTAATAGAGGCAGTCTCAATTCCCGACTACTTCACGTTCGAGAATGTTCCGTGCATATGTCATGGGTAGAGTTCTATTTAAATACTGAAAGCGGTGACGCCCCATTCAACCTCCGTGATTTTATCTGGTTTCCAAAAAACAAAAACATTTCCAGAAACCCCCAAATATGAAAAGACTCGAAAGTGAAAGCCTATGACATCTCTTGCACGTCTCAATCCACATTTTTTCACGCTTATTTGTCTTAATCTACTCTAATGCATCCAATTCATGGGTTATCTTCAATCAGGGATAATGGTTCGAGTAGTAGAAGACGACACATGAATATCTCAAATTTGAATCTTAGAAACTTCTGAGTCGAGGCTTGGCTCCTACCAATAATAAGTGCGAGCTCTCAACGTGACAGAACCATGATATAGTGAGAGAAATAAATTTTATTATATAGATATGACATAGAGCTCCACCAAAGTAACGTCTTTGGAATGTTTGCTCATTCGGGGTTCTTTAACGTCCACTCAGTATACTAGTTTCGAATATCTCTCCTCTATCGAAATACGGCATGCGCGACTAGACTTGATGATGCGTCTTTCGGGTCAGCAGCCGGGCATCGAAACCACTGCACTACCGCAGCGGCCTCAATAAAGGATTTATCCTTAATAAACCGAGTTTGTTTTCACCTGTCTTCCTCGGTTCTTTTCTGCAGCTGTTGGATGTTTGGTGGTTTCATGCATGTTCATAGACACATGATATTTGGACCGAGTATTACTACGTGCGTTAGTTCGGCGAATGAGAGCGCAAAAGGCAACACTGCTGGCTGAGCTTATTGATTGCCTAACTAGACATTCAAAATGTGATCACGCAGCGGATCACCTAGGAGTAACGTGCACTATGTACAGCACGCCGTAACGCGCAAATTATGTGCTGTCGTCACATTAGCGCTCGGCTTTTTTCATTGTCTTCACAGCGACTACAGAAGTGTACCTTGCACTGTCCGCATCGTTTCGAGATGCGCGCCGTTGAAACGAGCGAAAGGGCAGGCTGCCGGGTAATATGGGATGAGCGTGCGCAGTACGCACTCCTGGACAGAGCCGTGCAGCCGCCAGAAGGCGCAGCGACGCGCCTCGGCACCTGCTCCCGTAGTCTCTAAAATTATGCACTTGACTGTACCTGCCTGTCACAAAGAAAATGGATGGCGTCATCAGCTTGATGAACGGTACGCTCCCATTTATTTCTTCGGTTGTCCTTAGGAAACGAGAACACTTGAAGCATCGATTCCTTTGCCGCGAAAATTTGCCACGTAGCATCGCCCAACCCTTGGGATTTGCAGCCGTACACGTTGCGAATATGCAGTGTACAAAACGCATCACATATGCACGCTGCAGTCCACGGATTCAGAAAAAGATGGTCTTCACGAGTCACCAACAGGCGGCATACCAGCACGCCATGAAAAAGTTCGCCGAGCTAGGCAATTCATGTCTGTCGAGCGACGAGAGCAAGTGTAGGTACATTTACGCCGGCCGAAACACACCAGTGAAAACAGAGTGACGGCAGAGCCCATGGCAAACATAGTGAGCAGGCCTAAAATTATCTAGGGGGCATTGAGTTAGTGGGCACCACATACACTGTGAACGAAATGGCTGTCGATGAGGCTACGACGACAGCGTTCGAGCGGTCCTGATGGCACCCGCTCGGCTGACGTCAAGATTTAAAATGAACCGCATCTGATGCTTAATATACCTAACTCGCTGACGCAAAACCATAGGCGGCGGCTTCGTAGCTCTGAAGCCACGGAGCGTAAATGAAAGATCCAGAGCCCAAAGACAAGGCGTTCTCACTTTACAAAACCTTACCGAATGAACAAGTCAAATTAAAGATGACATAAAAAAGCTTCAAAGAAAATTATTATTGACATTAAAACCGAGGCTACGGACACCAAACTAGCACACATGATCGAGAAAAAGCAGAATGTAACATAGGATTGAAACAAACGCCGAATAAACAGGAATTCAAGAAAACGAATCGCCAGCCTTAAGAGAGAAAATAGTGAGTAATATTACAACAATGGAATGAATTTTGTGAAAGAATTTGCGGACAGCTTTGAAACGGGAAAGCATAGAAATTGGTGAAACATTTCTTTGGTGAAGACAATACTAGGACTAATCACATACACAACTTTGTAAGCGTCGCCCCGCCGCGGTGGTCTAGTGGCTAAGGTACTCGGCTGCTGACCCGCAGGTCGCGGGTTCGAATCCCGGCTGCGGCGGCTGCATTTCCGATGGAGGCGGAAATGGTGTAGGCCCGTGTACTCAGATTTGGGTGCACGTTAAAGAACCCCAGGTGGTCAAAATTTCCGGAGCCCTCCACTACGGCGTCTCTCATAATCATATGGTGGTTTTGGGACGTTAAACCCCACATATCTATCTAACTTTGTAAGCGTCATACATATTGCTCTGCAAAGAAGGACAAAAGGAGGGTCATGGATGAACTGATCCAGAAATATCTTCCGTTGAAGAAAGGAGAAATAAGCAACTGTACAGTTACATACAAAGCTACGCCACAGCCAGATTTAGACAAGCTTTTCATGACCGCAGAGGAAAGAAGAGTATTGAATGATTTAAACAAAAGATCCGCCCCATGGGTGCACATGGTGTAACAAACATAGCACTAAGAAACCTAGATGAACCCTCGATCGAGCAGCTAACAGTTCATCAACAAGGCATGAACAACTGGCACAGTGCCAGAGGAGGGGAAAGCATCACAGCTTATCTCAATCCCAAAACCAGGAAAACCACCGACCTTGGATAACCTGAGACCGATTTCCCTTACATCGTGGATAGGTATGGTAGCATAACACGCTATTTTAAACAGGCGGAAAAACCAATCAGAGAATAAGCTAATATACACACCCTATATGATTGGCTTTAGATCAGTCCTGTCCAGCCAGGATGCTATGATACAGTTCAAGCATCACATATTGGTCGAATACTCCAGAGCCATCAAAGCCATTCTAGAACTTGACTTCGAAAAAGCTTTCGATAACGTCCAACATGAATATATTTTATTTACATTCGTGCATCTGGGACTTGGGGAGATGATATACGTATACGTAAACTATTTTCTTCGGAACCGTAATGCGAAGCTTAGAGTGGGAGACATTGAAACGGAATGACTACAACTCGGAGATAAAGACACTGCACAAGGTTATGTTCTTTCACCAGTACCCACTAACGTAAGCATGATAGGTCTTTCCACAGATTTCAATACGATAGAGAATATTGAACACACTGCTTATCTGACGGTCTCATCATCTGGTGCTCACACGGAAGGGAAGGTCAAATACAAGATGCGTTAGATCAAGCAGTCAGGACCGTGGAGGAATACCTAAAGCCCACTAGGCTGAGATGCTCCTCACACAAACCGATGCTACTATTATGCCGAAAAAAAAGAGGGAAGACCAAAAGGTTGGCAACCACTGTCCGAATGCAAGATCAAATTATGCACCACAAATGGGGACGAAATCTCCAGAGTGAATGAAATTAGAGTCCTGGGATATTTTATCGACGCTAAAGGAGGGAACAACACAGCGCTTAAAAAGATCGTGCTCGAAGCAGAGAATGCCTAAAGAATAGTCAAAAGACTTGCAGGAAAATATAGAGGGATGAAGGAAGACGATCGCCTCCGGCTTGTGAACGGCTTCGTCCTCAGTCAGGTCATATATTCAGCGGCTTGGTATAACTGGTCGCCAAACCAAGCACAAAAGTTGGATGCTGCTATCGGGAAAGTAGTCAAGAAAGCACTTGGTGTAGCTATGCGCACTAGTAAGCCACCTGTCAGAACTAGGCATTCACAATACCCTAACTGAAATATTGGAAGCACAAAGAACGTGACAGCTAATGCGATTTTCCTGAACTAAAACACGTAAAGACATTCTTAATAAAATTAAGCTCAATCCCACAATAGCAACTGAACACTACGCTCAATTACAGGAATAGATTACAAATGATATAGTAATTGTATACCTAGAAGCATGCCCTCTACATATATTCATGGATAGAGGGTGTTTCGCTCTAAATCTTTGATTCAGACACTAGACAGAGCAGTGAATGATGCCTGCTTTGTGGATGCTGCAGAGTACAGGGGCCGACCCAGCTACTCTGCAGTTGTAGTAAATCACAAAGGGGACTGCACATACGCTGCATCAGTTAACACTAATAAACCCGAGATCGCAGAGCAAGTAGCGATAGCCATGGCATATACGAACAATAATTGCACGGAAATTTGTAGTGACTCCAGGCAGGCATCAATGCTTTTAGCAGGGGGAGGGTTGCTCCGCAGGCGGCCAGAGTGGTCAGTTAAATAAAAAGCATGGGTATTAAGTGCATCTGCTTGTATCCCTGGACACATCGGTAAAATCGAAGGCCTACGAGTCAATCCAAACGAGTCGACCAGTAGCGTTGCTCGCGATCTCACCGACCGGCACGCTTTTACAGATGACGCCGACTCCACTATATTGATTCCACTATACAGAGATAAACTCACCACGTTTAATGAAATCACTTAACACTTCTATCTGGGCAGAATATTATATCCACACCCCCACGCAAACAGAGCACAAGCCATAGCTCTTGGACAACTACAAACAAAATCGTACTATTCACAGCTTCAAATCAGTGAGTGGTATAAAGCGAAGGAAATGGAAATTACATGCAAAGCCTGCAACGGAAATGCATGAACATTAGGCCACGTTTTTTGGGACTACGGTTCACTGGGGCCAGGTATTAGCCGTGAACGCTTCGAAAGGCTCATCAGATCACCAGCTTCTGACAATACAATCCTGGCTGTCCAGTACGCCCACGACAGGGACAGGAGGCTCGAACTCCCTGTTACGTCATGGGAATAGCCAGGTTGACGCATTCACGTCATGTACCGGGTAGAAAGTAAAGTTTTCAGGAAGTACTGCTTGTTGCAGTGTTTACCCCACTCGCTAGCAACGTGTTCATAGATAGCTCAGAAATATTTTAAGTGCGCCGAGTCAAATGGCAAACGTAACATTATTGCCACTGTGACTTGAAGCTTGGTGGTCAACAGCACAAGTGCGGGAACTTGTGGATGGTGACCACGCCTCTCTGAACACCCGTGACCGTTTCGGTTGTTCGCAAGCACGATTCTCGCGTTTTTCTGCCGCCCATTTGAGGCACCTTAATGCTTCAAGCACTCAGACGTCCTAATAAACGGTTTTCAGTCAAATATATCCGAATTAACGAGTGTTTGCCGTTAAGCAATACGTCAGGTGGCCACGACCAGAGAACGTATCTGAATTATTCGATTTCTTTAATTTACGGAGATAGAATAATGGTGATTTTACTCTCTTTTGGCACCGTCCATTTATTTTTTCTTTCTTGTTGCTTGTGAGTTTTTAAACTTGACAGCATGTCGCTTTTCAAGTTTTGTATACTTGGTGAATACGTGCTGGTCTAGATTCGCCTATGGTGGATGATTTCTCGTAGTGTTTGACTACAATAGGAGTTAGGTCTGTGTTGAAGAATCAATCAGAGACGCCTCAAGCGTAAAATCACCGTCAGGCAAAAATTGTCCAAGGGTTTAGATAGTCATTCTAAGGCGCACTCTGCTGCGTGGGAGCTAGAGAGAAACAGTAGTGCTCGCTTGCGCAGGCACGCGTTACATGTATGCAAAAGTCTTATAGCAAAAAAAAATTGAAGTGAAAGGAACCCTGCACATTGAGGAGAGGACAATTAGCGCTTTTGCGAAGCAGTAAGAGTTACACAAAAACAAAAAAAAAGAGATCAGAAGTCATAGTCATGCATTTGCCAGTTGCCTGAAAAACTAGAAAATATCGCTGAGGAAAAGCCGAGAAGCGTGAATTCTCCCCCCCCCCCCCCCATAACTGTAGTTGTGGTAGTTTTTTCATAAACTTCACGCGCTGTGCATTTATTCTGAAGATTATGACGATTATGTGAAAAATGCGTGATTTTAAAGGCCTCGTAATGGGACAGTCTCGATGAACTCGTTTCGCTAAAATTCCGGCGTTGGCGTAGTTGGTTGTGAGCAAGAGATAATTCTGTCCGGGATAGAAAAATCGCGAAAGATGCAAAAGACAACACGATTGCGCTTCCATGGCAAAGCAGGTGTTTTGCCACATAGCCACGCTTTGCCTTGACACTGCTTCGGAAAGAAACACTGTATGAATGTCACGTAGTGGTGTTTCCTTCACCCTTGTAATACTTTGTAACTGAAGGGTATACGATCGCCACAGGTGTCAGAACATGTGAATAGTGAAACGATGTAAATGTTTAAGGGCACACCAATCACAAACCCTTCAGATATATGAACACAATCAGCTGCAAAAGTACCAGCACAGCGAGCAGCTGCGTAGGTTCGCATGTTGCCTCATGGATGCTCTATAGTCAGCCCTTTGTTGACTTGATAGACGTATGATTACAGCGTAGTGGACCCTGTGTAATTCCACTTGCAGGCGACATATTTGGATGGTTCACAACGACCCCTGTTACGCGCACACAAGTCAGTTTTTATGAGACACAGTTTAAGCATACCACAGGAAAACCGAAGGTTGTTTGTCAATTGAGAAGGCGATGGGGCCCGATTACGTTGTCACGTTCTTCTCTTGAAGGCGAAGCTCCAGCGTCCTCCAATTATTTACAGCGAGAAAAGTTATCACATCTCAACAAGGATCGCGTGCGCCATAGTTGTTTGCCACTGCCGGTGTCCGTAACCAGTATCGCACAAAATACCAAAAAAATTTTGCCCAGTATCTGCATGTTTCACTGTAAATGTCGTCGAGAGACGATAGCCTTGTATCTGGAGAAAGTGAACAAAACATTTATTTGATGCTCTGCGCGAGAACATTGGTGAATCGTATTCTGGAGGCGCTGTGTTATTGTGTCTCGGTCCGTGCAGTGAAGGCGAACGAGTGCATCGAGGAACGTTAGACATGGGCGCTATCTGGTAGTTATCTTCGAAAACGAAGGAAGGCGTGCGCGCCCGTCTCGAAGGCTATAAGGTGTTGAACGCAAAGTGACGGGAACACTTGTCTTTTTGAGCCTACCGTTGCATTGGCAGTGCAGTGTGATAAACGCTACAGTCCTTAAAACTACTTATGTATGTCCTTTCTAGCATGAAAACACACATACCAAATATTCACATGTGATTAAGGTGCCTCAGATATACGCAATAATTGCTTCATAATTGACAATCACTCAAGTGTGAACGCTGAAACTGGGGCAATATTGGTGGGTACTGTTGATGGCGTTGGCCGTTTGTGGTCGTTTGGGATATTGTTACGGCGGACAAACAGACAGACCAAAATTTTTGCCTTGAGGTACCCCAAGATAGACTATCGTCTCTGGTATAGTGTGCTCTGGTATCTTCTTTATTAGGGTAAATAAGAACACGGACACAAAAGTATTCGAACCAGGGTCCCCTGCGTACCAGCCTAGTTATCTTCCGCAGAGCCACGCTGGTGCTCAAAACTCAGTTGCAAACTTGCCTTAGGCAGGCTTGATGTCGGGAAAGACATCGCATCAGCATCCGTAATAATGTGCTTCAGAACTGCAAAAGGAGCAACAAGGCGTCATACAGTGCGAATTGCGTAGCGACTGGGTCGTCCAATGCTCCGACCCATTAAAGAGCTTGTTCTTGATCCCCTGTTAACTGACGCGCATATCCACTTCAAGCATAATTCTTCATCGTCATCAGCCACGGCATAAGAGAGTTGCACAAAATTCTTTGCAATTGTGTAGCGGGTACCACGCTTTCCCGAAGAATGAAGAAAGATAACATAGTGAATGCTCCATGCCGCACAAAAATTATGATTATTTATGGCGTAATGGGTGCTCTGCAAGTGTTCTTGTAGCTTTTACCGAAAAAGTGTTCAGAAAATTATCTGAAAGGATGGTTTTTCAGCTTTCGCTGTTACTCTGCTGTGCGTGCCACGCAAGCCTGTTTTTTTTTTATCTCCAAGAACAAACTATGGATGCATCGGAAGTAATTGCTGTCGTTATTTAGATGTGTGGCGCAAGGAAGGAAAGATCATGAGATGAAGCAGGAATATAGCAACCTGCCTACCTCCTATGACCGCATCACTTAAACTATGCGACAATGAAGCTTCACGGCCTTGTTCCGGCAGTGTTGTGATATTCGTAGCCCTCCCTAAGACTTACGAAGCAATATCGCTATTTTTCATCATTCATTTCAGCCAATGGTCACAGACAGAAGAGAAAGGGGGAGTCACCCATAAAGTCACAGAGGATGAAGTGGAAACGTCAAACTTGGTACGTAAAGTTGATGATGGACTGCAGGTTTTGTTCTCGCTGCTTAAAAATCGGCAATATTCACCTTTTTAATGAGTGACGCTGAACAGATATATATTTTTTAGCCTTACTCGAGCGATTATAGCCTGTGCATGCATGATCACATTGTATAGGCTCAATTCGGACAATATGCTCCCCCGCTTGCTGCTTCTCACGTTTTGAAGATTCCATTGTAATTTACCTTCAGTATGCACAGCTTATTGCAGGGAGGATGGGCTATGGAAGAATGCCTCACTCTATTAGTAGGAAGAAATGTCAAAATGTAGAACAGGGGTTACAGAACCTACCAGCACTACATAACCTACACATAAGTAGATCGCACATCTGTGAACGGACACATGTGCCGTACCAAGTAAATGCATAACGTAGCTCGGAGTGGTCGTGTATTACGAGCCTTGTACTACGAGCTTTACAGCCACAACTATTGGGTCACAAAAGCATTGCAGAAAACGCTTTATGTTGGAGTGGGACGGCATTAAAATATAGATAGTAAAAACCGTCTCCTGCATTCCAGGACAGTATGGACTTATTTTGGTCAATGGTGCGAATATGCGGACCCTGGATTACAGTATCGTGCTTGTGCTTCATGGCACGCGCATGCGCCGTCGGCACTTACTTGGTCTGGATGAAGGAGTGGACTGACGCAAGTAGCTCGCAGTGGAATACACCTCTGTGGGTGGGGGGACTTGCCGCTATTTGCATTTCTGACGGTTAGTATTCAGACGCGCTGCACATTACCTAACTATACATGCCTCAAATTTGTAATTTATCATAATCTTGAGCATAGGAAGTCTGCATTAAATTATTTGTTTATCTTCACAGGGAAGCATGGATGTTATGAGTTGAACATTAGTCGGGGGTACCAGATCAGCCTCGAGCACTTAGGGATTTTTTATTATCATGTAAATATATCTAAAGCTTGCGTTCTTCTACGTAGCCCACTCTGATGCATGCTTAAACCCCTCTAATATAAGGATTTTGATTGTGATAGCAATTGTATAGACCATTTCAGCGGATTGTCGAGGTCACTGTCATTCGCAGTATGTATGTATGTATGTATGTATGTATGTATGTATGTATGTATGTATGTATGTATGTATGTATGTATGTATGTATGTATGTATGTATGTATGTATGTATGTATGTATGTATGTATGTATGTATGTATGTATGTATGTATGTATGTATGTATGTATGTATGTATGTATGTATGTATGTATGTATGTATGTATGTATGTATGTATGTATGTATGTATGTATGTATGTACGTACGTACGTACGTACGTACGTATGTATGTATGTATGTATGTATGTATGTATGTATGTATGTATGTATGTATGTATGTATGTATGTATGTATGTATGTATGTATGTATGTATGTATGTATGTATGTATGTATGCATGCATGCATGTATGTATGTATGTATGTATGTATGTATGCATGTATGTATGTATGTATGTATGTATGTATGTATGTATGTATGTATGTATGTATGTATGTATGTATGTATGTATGTATGTATGTATGTGTGCGTATGTATGCGTATGTGTATAGATAACTTGTGCATTCAGGACACAAAGCCAGACGATTATCAATTACAGTCATCCAATTAACTCAGATTTAACAATGAACTCTTTACAGACAATGATAAGCGGACATTCTTGTATTGAAAAGATGCATGCAGTCGTTTTGTGCACATTCAAACTCGAAAGAATCCGTCTAGCATATATGTTCCGAGACATCCCACAGCAAAGTTGAATTGCGGTTAACATGATTACGCACGCAAGGCAATCAGCGATGGCTCAAATGACCTCCTCTTAGCACCGTGGCAGCTACGTGCGTTCTTTAATCGGGCAATGTGCCCAAGGGCCAGGCAGGGGTGCTAACCATTATCATTTTACTACCAGCTGGTGATAGCAAGCAATGACTGTTCATCGCATCAGCGAGAAAGAATGCTCGAATCGATTACATTTTTAGAATTTATCTATTACTTTCCTGACACTGTTACTGTCTGCTTGGATTGATTGCATTTTAAAGGTAGTAATTGTAACTGTGACCATTGTTTTATTTTTCGTAACATGTAAAGGTCTATAAAAGAAGTTGTTGAGCTACTTTGTTGCTGATTTTTAGAAATAACATTAGAGCACGAAAACACGGCACAATCACACAGGCGTGCACCTAAGCACCAAATACGAACAGCGCCATTCAGAAGCGCTGTTCGTGTTTGGCGCCTGGGTGTGTGCTTGTGTGAATGTGTTGTGTTTCTGCATTCTGATTATATTTTTAAAAGCGTACAAGTCTGTACATAAGGCCCCAAGTCTGGCACGCGAATGTGCACCGGCAGATTGTACAACACACCCCACTGTTTTCTATACTTCCTTTGGAGTAACTATACAATGCAAACTCTCCAAAAACTCTACAATGCAAAATAGGTGTCCACATCTCAGTCTTACAAGAAGTATCGATATGATTTTTGAAGCGTGGCGTCTCATACGCTTCAGAACTGACGCATATATAGGATGTGAGAAAGGTCATTTTTCAAATGACAACGTTATCAGGAATTTTGTTCAAGATTTAAACAAACTTGTTCAATTTTTCAGCCCTTGCGGTAGACTAAAATTTCGTGTCAGCAAACCACTATGTGAGGTCTGCTCGGGACTCCCGCACTAGATTAACCAACTCGCTTAAATCAACAAGTCGGCATCAAATAACTTTTGTACTTGAATGCGAAAACCAGTACTTTGACCCTCTTTCAACATTCCTTCCCAGTGATCTTCGGTTGCCTAGGCGCCTTCACCCTCGCGATGAGCGCGCACAACCTGTCCTACCGACTGCACAATGCGATGGTCGCTCGGGTACTCGGCAGCCCTGTGGAATTCTTCGACGCCACTCCGAGAGGCCGGGTTCTCAACCGCCTTTCGGTTGAACTGGATGCCATTGACTCGCGCCTTTTTACGGGTTCCAAGCAGCTGCTGCAGTCGCTCACGGCGGGCGTCGCCAGGATTATTGTCACAGGACTAGAGCTGCCCACGGCAGCCATCCTGGCAGCGCTGGCCGTCACCTTCTATATTTTTACCATGGTACTGCCTTGTGCCATTTTTGTTGTTATTGCTATATTTTGTAAAAAATATGCAGAAGTACTTAGCACAAAGTATATTTACCAATAGTTGCTGAGAGTCTACCAGGGCCATATGCATCCTGCACTAACAGGAATTCAATGGTCGACATCGCGGTGTCTTGGTTCACGAGAGTTGATCAACAACAAAGTGCCTTAGGTACTAGCATTTGAGCACCGCATAGTTGCTCAGAGAACTGGAAGAATACCTCCTTCGTGTCTATTGTCTGCTAAGAATGCTCCCCCCCCACCCAAAAAAAAAACAGCAGCTACAGTGGTCTCAAAATGTTGTAATATCTCCATAGGGTTGTTTTTAGTACCACGCTTTCACGTTATGAAATAATCTAGTGATTTACACTTTGACTTGTGGTAGAAAGCGTGAAAAAGCATGTGCTTTTTGTTTCTAAATTTTTATGGTGAAGCCGTGGACAGGTATGCTACGGAAATCGCCCAGGCTTACTGCTCACTACTAGCACGCACACGCACACACAAAAAAAAAACGTTGCATAACAGAGAATGCCACAAAAAGACGCATGCTGACGAAATGGCTGCTGAAGACTTGTGCACGAAACGCCAAGCAAATGCGCCAACTCAGAATACGCTGTGCACCACTTTGTCCCATTAGAGCGGTTTGAAGTGAGCAAATCACACGCTCTTTCGGAATCAGAATTTGGAAAAAAAAAAAAAAAACCAATGGCGGTGTAAGGGTGTTTTCTTTTCCGAACATATCAATTACGGGGCCAATGTTTTACCTCAAACGCCCTTGAGGATCGAAACAGCTGGAGCCCACGTGACTGTGTGCCAAGATTAGAGTGTTACTGGATATTAGACGAGTTTAGATGAAAGAATATGCCTTTTCAAGAGTACTGATTATCACTCAAAAAGTTTATGCTCTACTAATGTTAATGTTTGTTTATACGAAAAAGGAATGTCTTCACAAGCACTAAACGGTGGCTGGAGACCCTCTGGTGAGATGTAACAGGAGGTTGTAAGGCTCAGTAGTGGCAGCACTCCATCCATAGGGCAGTTTGCAATATGCCATGACATGTGTATGGTTCTCGACGTGCGTGCAGCTGCTATGCAGATATAATCCTTTCCGTATGCCTTAACTGGTAGACTTTATGCCACATGGCTTCTCACTGAGAAGGGTGGAGTATTTTGCTGCAAAATAGGGTTATCGGGAGTATTGAGAAACCGGTGCTTCACAATTTAAGAAACATGTGTGATAACGCATCATCAGCAGCCAAGTATCAGTTGAGGCTGAAGTTCTTAATTGATCTGTATACAGATTTGTATGTGTTGTCGTGCTGCGCAAATTCGTGAAATTACAGCTTTCATTTCAATTCACTCCCATCCGCTGACGATGCATATGTAAGTGTGGGGTGGGTGGTGTGCATGCAAAGCGTGCGTGCATGCGCGCGCGCACGCGCGCGTGTGTGTGTGTTTGTAGACACAGTTATTGAAGCGTTTGTTCCTTCTGCATTACTCGTGGATACATATTCTTTTTTTGCAGCGAATTACGGCCAAAGCTTCCAATGCGGCGCGGAGGTTCGAGAGTGCCCACCTATCTCGCCTCCTCCAACACGTGGCCGAGACACGTGATACGCTGAGTGTGGTGCGCTCGTATGGCGCTGAGCACCGCTTCACTGCACACTGCCACCGCCTCGTAGACACGGCGACTACGGGGTTGCTTACGTACGTGGACTGCCTCCGGCTCTCCCGATTCCTGGGAGGACTGTGCGGCTTCGTAGTCATTCTGGTATCCGTGATTTGCGCGATTTCTCCATCTGGTCGGACGGCCAACGTTGTTGACGAAGGAAGCTCGGTTGGGCTTGCTCTAAGTTCATCCATGGGGGTAAGCCACAGTTCCTTTATTCAAGCGTAAAATTGCATTATTCTTAATTAGAAATATAATCAGTCATCCGCTACACCCATTCTTACACGCCGCAGCAAGTTAGCAGGTTACTTTTGTACCACACGAAGAAAACAGACGCACTGCAGAGACACACGTTGATTCTCGGGTGCCCGAGCCTGATTAACGCTTTAGCAGGGGCAAGAGATCAAGTGGAGAATAGATTATTCACGAGCTACACCTACATACAACAACTCGACATAACATCACAGCTTACGACTTAAACTGCGCTTAGGAATATAAATTCTGCTCGCACGGTAACCAATAAGTAGATTCCCTTCCCTTTGTTGCAAATAGATTCATCACACAACGAACGCTTCGGGCTAAACATAACAATTGTTGCTAAGGTGCGTCAAAAAAGCAGGATATGATTATGAATTCATCATCATCATCATCATGATCATCATCGTGGTCGTCGTCGTCGTCATCATCATCATCATCATCATCATCATCATCATCATCATCATCATCATCAGCAGCAGCAGCAGCAGCAGCAGCAGCATGAATATGTCTACTGCAGGACAAAGGCCTCTACCATGTTCTGCCAGTTAACTCAGTCCTGTGCTTGCTGCTGCCAATTTATACCCGCAAACTTCTTAATCTCATCCGCCTACCTAACCTTCTGTCTCCCCCTAACCTGCTTGCCTTCTGTGGGAATTCAGTCGGTAACCCTTAATGACCAGCAGTTATCCTGTCTACGCGCTACATGCCCAGCCCATGTCCATTTCCTCTTTTTGATTTCAACTATGATATCCTTAACCTCCGTTTGTCCCCTAATCCACTCTGCTCTCTTCTTGTCTTTTAAGGTTACACCTACCATTTTTCTTTCCATTGCTCGTTGCGTCGTCCTCAATTTAAGCTGAACCTTCCTTGTAAGTCTCCAGGTTTCTGCTCCGTAGCTAAGTACCGGCAAGATACAGCTGTTATATACCTTCCTCTTGAGGGATAGTGGCAATCTACCTCTCATAATTTGAGTGTGCTTGCCAAATGTGCTTCACCCCATTCTTGTTCTTCTAGTTACTTCAATCTCGTGGTTCGGCCCCACGGTTATTACCTGCCCTAAGTAGATATAGTCTTTTACAACTTAAAGTGCACTATTACCTATCTCGAAGCGCTGCTCTTTTCCGAGGTTGTTGTACATTACTTTCGTTTTCTGCAGATTAATTTCAAGACCCACCTTTCTGCTCTCCTTGTCTGGCTCCGTAATCCTGAGTTGCAATTTGTTCCCTGAGTTACTCAGCAATGCAGTGTCATTGGCAAAGCGCAGGTTACTAAGGTACTCTCAGGTAATAGAGATATGCTCAGAATATAGCCAACCACTATAAATAGGCTTCATTGTTAACGAGAAGGCGTTTAATTCAATAGAAACATCAGCAGTCATGCATACACTGCGGAATCAGGGCGTCGATGATTATGAATTACGCCGTAATAAAGGGACCTAGAAATTTCGAGCACATGGGGCTCTTTAACGTGTACCTTAATCGAAGCACATGGGCCTCATGCATTTAGAGTTCATTGTAATGCAACCGCCGCGACGGATTCGCATTCCGGTGACCAGCGGCTCCGCATTCAGTCAAAACAACCGTTAGACCACCCGGAGGTTGGAAAGCAGAAGAGTGTCGGCAAGGCCAACGTGTGGGAGCAACCTCCTATGGAACTAAGGCCGATGTATAAAAGCTCACGGGCACTGCTCGTGCTTTAGTGTGCTTTGAGGAGACCCTGAGCAATTTCGCCATCTTCGTGATTGAACATTTGTCGATATACTCTCTAACTGCGGTCTAGGTGGCACAACTCGGCGTACTCATTAGAAACTTGTCCACAGAAATCCCGACTAAAAAAAGCTGACGTTAATCTCTTCAGGCACCTGTGTAAACGAGAATGCTTCTAGCGATGTACTAGACGCCAGGTCGTGCAAACTGCTCGTTTGTTTTGCCGCGTGCCCGTGGTAAATGTTTTCGCATATTGTTTTCTTTTTAATCTACGATCAAAAAAAAAAAATATACGCTCGTACAACCGCCACTGCTGTGAAAATCCAGGCCAAAGTTTTAAGCCATGCGCGGAGTTGACCAGAAATGCGCGAAGAGAGCTTCTTCTGAAGACTTCCGATTTTTAACGGGACTGATAAGCTGTTTTCAAGCTACAGGAGACAATAATGAGATGTGTACAGCGCTGTCCCTATCTTCAGTTATTTTGTTTTTCGATTATATATAGCGTCACACTGTTAGCGAAATTGCTTCTGTAACTTTGTCAATTTTCAACACCTATAAACTTAGGCGTAGGTTAAAGTGTGCTATGGGGTGCCTTTCAGTGTGAGCGGGTGTTAGCAGAATGCACAAAAGATGCGCATCAGGGCGTGGTCACTTTGGGCAGTTTCTGGCTGTAGAACAAGGCACATATAATTTTCACTTGACTGATTGCTATCGCTTCTAGGTACACAATTATGTACATAGCAAGACCAGCCCGCCTCCGTATATAGTAAGTTGGAGCCCAACTGTAGCACGTGAGCGCGAGGTGCGCTTACCAGTCGCTTACCGCGAGGTGCGCTTACCAGATATGCCGCAGCAGTGCACTGCCGAAGCTGCATGTTCTGATCGGTCTGAAAAATTTACATGGTTTCAAGCCCATGAGTACGTGCGCCAGCGTGAGCGCGTGCAGAAAATTCGCTGTCGACTTGAAAAGATTGTGACATTTTTAATGCCTTAAATTTTGATAAGCAACTAGGAAACCTTTTGAACACGTTGCCACTCTCCGGGTGTGTTGGTAAACGTATCTCGAAAACAAATTCTGCGCTAACATCGACGTAACGGAGACGACAACATAGTGTGATAACTTGAACAATTTACAGCACCAAACTATTCGTCTGTGGACAGTGACAACGCCAGTCTACTCACTAGCCAAACAAAAAAGCCCTCTTCCAACCAAAATGTCAATTGAAGGTGCACTCACACAAGCGTCTCTAATTCGAGAGATAGCTTGGCTTCTATTGTCTGTCTCAAGTTTTTATTGTTATGATTCGCCTGCACCGCGTAAGAACCATACATTAGAGCAATGCCACATTCGAAACAATGACTGGTTACCTAGTGAGTGGACTGTTGGCGCTATATACTGTGCATGAAAAAAATGGTTCTGTGTTTTCTGGAAGTAAAATTGTTGAACTTAGCGCATTTTTTTGTCGTCTCTCTTACTTACCTTCTTGACAGCACTCAATATGTTTCAACGCGAGTCAGTAGCGCAGTTTATACCTTTGCTGGACCGGTAAGTGCGCTGTAGAAATACGTCAACACGTAAAGCTTCAGCCTGGATGTCGTTATCAAAGTTATGCAGAACATATCAAAGCATCACCTGTGCGTGTTTAGGGCAATACACGCACATACATAGCTACCTATCTTCAGGAAGCTGTATATGTGCGCTATATACATTTGTGGTTTTTGATGGTAACAAATTATGATTCAGCGCAATGTGAAAAACAGGTTTATGAAAATGGGATAGTTTTTTTAGGCATGGCCAACGCCTCACACGTAAAATATTAGAGGATGATAATCTACTACGTTTGGGTGGCCTTTTCGTTTGGGCATACCATAAATTGTCCTCACCATACAGGACTGTAATTATATTGCTATGATACGATAGACTGTGCGGCGTCGTGCGCTTGATGATAGTACGTTCAATTCGCGTATATAGACTTCTGATAGTTTAACTTATAAAGCTTGATTGATGTCAGTGCCTGTGGTGCGCCCTCTACCCTGTCCTGACTGAGAATTCACTGCTAACTTACGTCACTAATTATTTTGAGGAATAGCCCAATGAGTCGACATACCAAATATGCAATTATGACGAAAAATGCTTCCGTAGTATATTGCTGACCACACCTTACTCATTAAAATGTGTTTTTTGTGAATTCAGGAAAACGTACCAGGGAGCCTCTTAAACAAGCATGGTTGCTTTGATTCAGCTATATACCCTTATTCTGCGAGGCGAAGTAGCGTCCTGGTGAAGGCAGTTGTGTGGCTTACTGTGTTGGCGAACTCTCGTGAATGTAATCGCTACTTGTAGACGCAAGATTGCAGTCGCGAAAAGACGGTGTTGCACCACAGAGAAATACAAAACTAAAGAATGGTCGCGTCTTTCGTGGCTGAGCAGGCGAGAATCTGAACACCCGCCAGATGGCATGGCTATGCGTGTTGGATGGATGGATGGATTGATATGGCTGTACCCTTTAGATCGGGCGGTCACCAACGCCACCAAGCCATAATACTTAGTGAACCAAAAAATAGATTTATTTTTTTTTCGTTAAATAGTGAGGTTGAGGACTCGTACTTTGCAGTGAAGGGTTTAATTTTCACTCGTGTCTTGACTTTAGCCACCAATTAGATAACCTCCTTCTAGTTAATTCTACCCGCGTAAAGCATATTTTGCCCTTCCTGTTCCTAAACCCCAGTGCTTTGAAGAACTCTGCGCCATCATACTGAACTATAGGGTGAAGCCCTTTACAGAACATTATCAAGTGTTTGGCAGTTTCTTCTTCCTCTCCACACGCACTGCATACTGTGTCTACCACTTCGTCTTTGGCTCGATATATCTTAGCTCGCTATACTCCCGTTCTGGCCTCAAGCAGTACAGAACTACCCCGAGTATTATCATAGATCCTTTCCTTTACAATTTCATGTTAAAAACTTCGATAGATCTCTAGTGCAGACTTTTTAATCTTATTCCTATTCTTATTCTTATTCTTAATTCCGATTGAGGCCGATTCTCCACATATCGGTCTCAGCTTCCTTCACCGTGTTCGTAACCAATAATTCTTTTTGGTTCGGCCCCCTGCTGTTTTCCAAGTATTTACCAGTCAA